GGGGCTTCTGATCACATTTCTGGTAATAAGTCCTTATTCACTTCCCTTTGTACTACTGGTTCTTTTCCCACTATTACTATGGCCAATGGGTCTCTGGTCCAATCACGGGGAATTGGCACGGTTCTTCTTTTACCTAATTTATCTCTGGATCATGTTCTCTATGTTCCAGATTCTCCTTTTAACTTACTTTATGTTAGTCGTTTGACAAAATCCATTGACTGTGTTGTTTCTTTTACTAAAACCTCTGTCATCTTTCAGGATCGGAGTTCGGGGAAGGAGATTACCAAAGGATGTGAGTCTCAGGGCCTCTATCAACTATTTCCCTCTTCTTCAGCCTGCTCCATTGTGAATTCTCCTCTTACTATACATGCTCGTCTGGGCCATCCTAGTCTTGCAAAGCTTCAGAAGATGGTTCCACATTTATCTTCTCTTTCCAATTTAAATTGTGAGTCTTGTCAGTTTGGGAAACATACTCGTAGTACATTCCCAAGTCGTCTTAGTCGTCAAGCTGTTTCTCCTTTTTTTGTGTTCCACTCTGATATTTGGGGACCAAGTTGTCATTCTTCTACTTTAGGATTTAAGTATTTTGTTACTTTTATTGATGATTATTCCAGATGTACTTGGTTATTTTTAATGAAAAATCGGTTTGAGTTATTTTCTATTTTTCAATTATTCTACAATGAAATAAAAACTCAATTTGGTATTCATATTCGTACTTTTCGTAGTGATAATGCATGTGAATACTTATCTCATCAATTTCAACAATTCTTTTCATCTCATGGCATTCTTCATCAAACATCTTGCCCTCATACACCTCGAAAAAATGGTGTAGCCGAGCGCAAGAATCGCCATCTGGTTGAAACCACTCGTGCTTTGTTAATTGATGGCAATGTTCCATACACATTCTGGGGTGATGCTATACTTACTGCATGCTATCTCATTAATCGCATGCCATTATCTGTTCTCAATCATAAGGTACCTCACTCTATTTTATTTCCCCATCAATTTTTATATCCTTTGACTCCACATGTGTTTGGTTCTACGTGTTTTGTTCATCATCTTGGTCCAGGTTTGGATAAATTAGCTCCCAAGTCTCATAAATGTGTCTTTCTGGGTTATCTTCGGTCTCAAAAGGGTTACCGTTGCTACTCTCCATCTTTACATTGATACTTTATCTCGGTAGATGTTTCCTTTTTTGAATCAGTTCCCTTTTTTGGATCCTCTACTACTCCTGTGGACACTGATTCTGTACAGTCATCTTTCCCAGTCGACTCTTTTGAATACCTTCCGTCTTTACCAGTCCATGTTTCTGACTATCCTTCTATCACCTCCTCTCCTGATGAGATTGAACATAGTTCGTCAGATGTATCTGTGGACTCACATTCAACTGCATCTCCTCCATTGGCTTCGGTTCCACCTTCGGATAGTGACCTCCCCATTGCTCTTCGTAAGGGTACTCGTGATACTCGCCCTCCGTCTAGGTATACAGTCAATATTAGTTACCATCGTCTTTCTCCATCATATTTTGCATGTCTTTCCTCTTTGTCCTCTGTATCTGTTCCTAAGACTACAGGTGATGCACTTTCACATTCGGGATGGAGACAAGCTATGATTGATGAAATAAGTGCTCTTCATCATAATGGCACATGGGATCTGGTTCCTCTTCCTTCTGGAAAATCTGTGGTTGGTTGCAGATGGATTTATGCTGTTAAGGTTGGACCTGATGGTCAAGTTGATCGTCTTAAAGCTCGCTTGGTGGCGAAGGGTTTCACTCAAGTGTTTGGATTGGATTTTATTGATACTTTTTCTCCTGTGGCGAAAAATGTCTACTGTTCGCCTCTTTATTGCCATGGCTGCTATTCGCCATTGGCCTCTCTACAACTTGATATCAAGAATGCTTTTCTCCATGGTGATCTTGAGGAGGAAATTTATATGGAGCAACCTCCTAGATTTGTTGCTCAGGGGGAGTTAGGTCTTGTTTGTCGTCTTCGTAAGTCTCTCTATAGCCTCAAACAATCTCTAAGAGTTTGGTTTGGTAAATCTAGCAGTGTTGTTCAACAATTTGGCATGACTCGGAGTGAAGCTGATCATTCTCTCTTTTATCGTCATTCCGCTTCTGGATCTATTTACCTGGTGGTATATGTGGATGATATTGTCATCACAGGTAGTGATAGGCATGGGATCACTCAATTGAAACAACATTTATGTCATTATTTTCAGACTAAGGATCTTGGGAAACTTCGATACTTCTTGGGAATCGAGGTGGCCCAATCTAAAGCTAGCGTTGTGATATCTCAGAGGAAATATGCTCTGGATATTCTTGAAGAAACTGCTTTGCTAAATTCAAAGTCTGTTGATACTCCTATGGATCCAAACATCAAGCTTCTACCAAATCAGGGGAGCCCTTTCCAGATCCTGAGCAGTATAGAAGATTGGTTGGAAAATTGAACTACCTCACAGTCACTCGGCCTGATATTTCATTTGCAGTTAGTGTTGTCAGTCAATTTCTTAATTCTCCATGTAAAGAACATTGGAATGCAGTCATTCGTATTCTTAAGTATATCAAGGCATTTCCAGGAAAAGGCCTTGAATATGAAGATAAAGGTCATGATAAAGTTGTTGGGTACTGTGATGCTGATTGGGCTGGTTGTCCAGTTGATAGGAGATCTACTTCTGGATATTGTGTCTTTGTTGGAGGCAACTTGATTTCATGGAAAAGTAAGAAACAAAGTGTAGTTGCCAGATCAAGTGTTGAAGCAGAATACCGCTCCATGGCGACTACTACTTGCGAGCTCATATGGCTTAAACAGCTTCTCAGAGAGCTTAAGTTTGGAGACACTGGACAAGCAACTCTCATTTGTGATAATCAAGCAGCTCTGCACATTTCATCTAATTCAGTGTTTCATGAAAGAACCAAGCATATAGAAATAAATTGTCACTTTGTTCGAGAAAAGGTTCTTGTTGGTGAAATTAAAACTAGTTTTGTACCATCTAATGAGCAATTAGCAGATGTATCTGCAAAATCTTTGAGGGGTCCTCGAATAGAGTTTATATGTAACTAGCTTGGTGCATATGACCTATACGCTCCAGCTTGAGGGGGAGTGTTAGAAAAATATTGTAATTAGTATTTTCCTTATTTCATTAGGGTTTGTATTAGGTCTGATTGTATTAGGTTTGGGCTTAGCCCATTAGTATGTCTATATATTGTACATTCTTCATCAGTTCAACACACAGTTTATTTCAATGTTCCTATCTTTTCTTGTTATTTAACATTTACAATCAAGTTGCATGAAAAATTCTTATAAATCTCATATTCTCCAAGTTAATGCCGTACATTTGTTCAGACAGGAACGGCGAATTAATTGAAATGTACATACGCTCATAACCAAGGAAGCACGGACACTCCAAAAAACAGGGAGTGTCGTGTCCGACACGCCGACACGCTCCGACACGGTGTCCGACACGCTCCGACACGGTGTCCGACACGCGGTCAACATTCCCGACACGTTGACCATTTCGACACGCGAATTTGACTGTGTCCGACACGTCCCGACACGTTCCGACACGGTCAAATGGCATTTTCATAAAAAAATTATTTTTTTAAAAAAAATTTAAATTTTTTTTAAAAAAATTGAAATATATTAATAAAGCTTCCACCTGATCATACCAATTTTTTTTTTTGCTTTTTTTTTCTTCCCTTAAGTAGATAAGAGATCATCTTAGCATCATTGTTGTCAATTCTTATTACGCTCTTCCTGTATCTCCTTCTCTCTGATCTCTCTCTCTAATTTGATTTGATCTCTCTATATGATATTATCTCTCTCTCTCATCCCAGTTTCTGTTTTTTTTATTAAAGCTTCCACCTTTATAACGTGTTTATGGGTATTATTAATGTAGTTTCATTTTTTTATTAAATTATTGAATATTAAATGAAATATACACTATATAAATTAAAAATATTATTTAATATTAAAAGTGTCCCAATGTGTCGAAATACATATTTTTTTAGGATTGATGTGTCAAGAGTGTCGTGTCGTACCGTGTCACGTGTCGTATCGGTACTACATAGCTCATAACTGATATGAAAACTACTTCAATGCAATACAACAAGAAAAAAAGCTGGGAAAGTTAGACAGTGTAAAAAATGCTAAACTAGAGGAAAGTAAATAACATGAAACTTTTTTTTGTGTGTGGAATAAAAATAGGGCTTGCAATTTGTCATGTTGCATGAGAAATTAAAGTTTTCCTACAAAGAGAGAAAGGGGTGGGACCCACCTTAAAGAAAAAAATAAAAAATAGAAAAGTGATTGACACGGACATTGAAGTGAAAGTGGGAGGAGAGGAGACTTCTCATGCAACATAAGAAATTTTTTCCCATAAAATAATATATTATAGTCTTTCTCTCGAAATTACCCAGCAAAAAGGTTGTAACAATGAATTGAAACCCTGGTAAACAAGGATAGTAAATATGGAAAAGGCTATTCACTTAAATTACGATTAGTCTATTGATAACAAGTTAACCAAATTAAGTTCTTTTCCGTACGTAGACATAACTTTAATATGCTAAACGGGTCCTTCCACTTATTCTCTCCTCACTAAAAAAAAGAAGTCCTTTTAATTATTTATATGCCTAAATAAATAAAAACAACTTAATCTCCATTAGTAGCGCTACCACTAAGTAACCACCGGCATTAGAATAGTGTAGTTGCTAGCATCTTTTGCCTTTTCTTTGTTCCACTTACGAGAAATTAGTAGTTATGCACATGGTTTATTGAATTATTTTTAAGACAATCAAATTATTATTTTGGTATTATAAAAATAATTTTAAAAATAGATGTATTTTTATCATGATGTTTTTAATTTAACAAAAATAAAGATTTCAACATTTGGTTGTCTTTCTAGACCGTGCCTAATAAAAAAGTTGTCTCCACTCCCGCGATTTTCCTTTATAAATGCAACTTCTTAGTTCAAAAACAGACGAAACTTATATTCTAGTGGGAGAGTATCTGCAAGGATATATCACTGCAAAGAGCAGCAGTACTGAAAACTCACACACAACGTACATATATCCCTTTAAACTTCTGAGAGAGTGAGAGAGAAAAGGGGGGAAGAAGCAGAAAATTAACATGGAATGGAGGAAATATTATTTGGATGTGATGCTTGTACCATTAGGATTTCTGATGACCATTGGTTATCATGTTTGGTTATGGTATAAGGTTCGAACACAGCCTTCTTCCACCATAATCGGAATCAATACTCATGGAAGACGCTTCTGGGTCCCTGCCATGATGAAGGTACTATATATATCTTGTCCATGAATACATTAACAAAATATATTATTATTTGATTGTTTCCTTTTTCAGTAACTTTTTGTTTTGGCGAAAGCATGTGGAACTAATCTGCGTTCCTAATTCTAAAACTAGATATTATCCAGCTTTTCAATTCTATCTTCATATGAGTTATCATATACAATGATCTCTCTCTATATATCTCTTTAGTTAAAGAGTTTCTCTGTTTCTGATATATACTTGTTGTATGAATAATGGATAGGTATTGATATGACCAAGCGATTTTGATTTAAGATCTACCTCTATTTCTTACATGTTTTAGCCACAAAATTTGACGTCACCCGTTTGCATGATCAAAGCCGCAGTGTTAAACTAGTTAATTTGCTAAATGAGGAATTGTGAAAAAGCATATTTTACAAATTAAGCGTAACCGTGTCCTTGGAATATAATCATCTTTATTCTTAGTACTTATAAAATATTTTACTATATGTTAAAAAATTATGATGATTTGGATGATATTATTAAATTAACTTTTCAGATTTTTATAATTTATCTTGGGCTTATTTTGAAGTTAGTATCTAAGTTTGTGAATAAGGATTAGTTCAAAGTATAGGATCGAATAGGGTCTAAGTGAGATGTTTCATCTTTCATTCGCTTGTCCAGACCTTGCCAAAAATATTTTAATTTAATATAGGAAAAAATGTTTGTCATTTTAAATGACATAAAGTTATGTCATTTCAAGAGAGAGATAGACACAAGAAAATATTTTTATATTTAAAATTTAAATTAAAAAAAAATCATCCACTTTTTCTTCCATGATTTTCATTTCGAGTGTCTATCTCTCTCTTAAAATGACATAACTTATGTCATTTAAAATGACAAATACCAAACCCTTTAATATATTAAAGCTTGTGCATGTAGTGATATTATTTGTAGGTAAAATTATTTCTCCAGCCACTCTACGTACAACAACGACAAGTGTATGTTTATGATTCTCTACATTTAATGCTTTCATTCTTTGTATGGTTATGATTCCTCGCATTTAATGCTTTCAAGTATATATATGGCAAGTATTTGATTGTTGTATGTATAACAACGGCAGAAATGTAAGCCCCTTATTTGTATTTGTAGTATTCTGTTATTATATTGATTTTAATTAATCATCAAAATTTTAGGCACTCATATATTTTGCTTAAATACGTTTCAGAATATTTATTTGAAAGCTAGTTAATCTATTTTAGTTTATAATTATAATTGAGTTATACTCCAATAAGTATTTCTTAAGGCTTGTGTTTTTAGATATTTTGATATAAAAGCATTGATTTGATTCCCTTCATTTCTAATGAATTTTTCAACGCTAGAGTTGAAGTGTTCCCAAAATTATATAGTTACTTTTTAGAATATTTTACGTATATAGGAGCTAGATATAGTGGTAAGTGAGCCATCATTTTAATAAATAAATAAAAACTTATGAATATTTTGCACATGCTCAAAAATTCTTTTTAAAATCAGCCCAAATGTAAGCATACGGTAAAATTAACAATAACTAATCAAACATGACATGGTTCGAAGATATTGCTTTAGCTAGATGGATTTCAGGGCCCTGTCTTTGCTATGATGTTTATCAGCTAGGAATCTTGAAATTACATACATACAAATATGAATATTCGAGAGAATCTGCATACTATTGGCTGGCCTAGGTTTTGGAATTTTTTTTTATGAGAATGCAGGGCCTTTTGCAAAACATGGCCCATCACTTTCATATAAAAGTGGGTTAGTAACTTCATGGAAAAAAGTGGGTTAAAGAGTCCGCACTTTGTTTCTGTGGTCTGGTATTGATTATAAATTGAAATCTTAGCAAAATGAAATAAAATGTCAATCATGTTTCTGACCACAATCCACAACGGAAATCCCCTTTTATTTTATTCTTACCGCTATGTAATGTGGGTCACTCTTTTTGAAGAGTTAACTGTTGGTTAATTAATTATGAGGCAAGAGTTTGTTCTTTAGATAAGATCGTTTTTATTTTTGTATGCTGACATAATCATATCTTTGGCACATGAATGGACACTCATAATCAACATATACTACATCAATATTGGGTAAAAGAAAAGAAACTTTGATCTAGAAATTTATAAAAATTAAATGACACTGAAATAAATATAAAGGGATATATTTATCTTTTGTTAATTTTTTCTTCTCATCATGATTCAAATAAGGATATAGACCATATCATATATAGAGGTTGTAATGAATGTAAATTAATTTATATATATTCCATATAAACCATGTAAAGGTCGTTTACTCACAAAAACATTTTTTTTTTTTTTTTGTTCGTGACAGGACATTGAAAAGAAGAACATCCTTGCAGTTCAAACTCTTCGTAATATGATAATGGGATCAACACTTATGGCCACCACGTCTATTCTCCTCTCAGCTGGCTTAGGAGCGGTCATAAGCAGCACTTACAGTGTAAAAAAGCCTCTGAATGATGCTGTCTATGGAGCTCACGGAGAATTTATGGTAGCACTTAAATATGTGACAATCCTAACTATATTCTTATTCTCATTTTTCTGTCACACTCTGTCGATTAGGTTTCTCAACCAGGTAACCATCCTCATTTGCACACCACAAGATGTCATGTCCATGATTACACCCGAATATTTGACTGAGCTTTTGGAGAAGGGAACTATTTTGAACACTGTTGGCAACAGGCTTTTCTACTCAGCACTTCCTCTATTGCTTTGGATATTTGGGCCTGTGTTGGCTTTCTTGGGTTCTGTCGCTATGTTACCAGTGCTTTACAACATAGACTTTGTTTGTGGAAATGGGAAGGGAAAGATCGTGAAGAATGACAAAGGGAACGACTATGTTTGATGTATTAATTGAGCCTAAGATTAAAACATGAAACAGATAGAGAAAATATGTGTATACGTCATTAGGTGCATCATTTACAACTTTAAAGTTGTAAAGGTGTTTTGTTTGTATCTTTTATCTATCTTCCTCGTTCAACTGCACAAGCCACATGCTGAAGAGCTTTCTTAAAATAATTCAATTGGGACTGGCTTTTCCAATGTGGCTTTGATTGTGATTACCATTATTCACCTTTTAGCTGTTTCGTAATAAAAGCTTTTCTCTTATTATGGCACACTAAAGTGCTTTTCAGTTTTCATGCCTTGAAGTGAGTAGGCATTAAATATAATAATGTTGGTTGGCCACAAGCCACCCACTGTTGTAGATTAATAAGGGTTGATTTATGTGAACCACATGTTTAGATCATAGAATCTTTGATTATAAGTTTGATTAAAGGAATGAATATTCCGAGCGAATCATCAAATAAAGCTTTATTACTACTACGCAATAAGATCTATGCTTTATTATCACACTTTCACTATTTTTCATCAACAAATAAAACTTTATTAGTATGTTTGTAGCTCAATTGTCACCGATTTAACTCTTTAAGATTAGGGTATATATATGTTGATATATATTGGATACTGATCTGTCAGGTCATCTTTACCCATATACATGGTTGCGCATCCAATGAAACAACAAAGATGACGACACCAACAATAATAAAGCCTCGTTAGTGGCTATTATGCAAGATCAAAGAGAGGGAGAATCTTAACATGCAAGATGAGAGAAAGAGAGAAAGCCAACTCGAAATTAAATGTGTTTTTCTATATTCTAATTGAATCAGTTGACAGAAAAGTATTTATATACAAACACTTCTAGGGAAGAATTAAAGAACGAAAGAATGGTTTTAACTACTTAACCAACCTGGAACAGAATTAACAAAAAAGAAACTAACTAATTAAGTTACATTGGGCTGGGCCCTTTTTATTTGTTGGGCCCAAGTTAGATTTCACCGGCAACACCCCCCCACAAGCTTGGGCTGGGTTGTGAATGTCAAGAAGCCCAAGCTTGCCAATCAGAGCATTGAACAGTGATGGCAATAACGGTTTGGTGAAGACGTCAGCAATCTGGGCATGAGTAGAAACCGGCAAGAGATGAATTAATCCGGATTGAATCTTCTCGCAAACAATATGACAGTCAAGCTCGATGTGCTTGGATCGTTCATGGAAGACTGGATTGTAAAAGAGATGAATCGCAGAAAGATTGTCACAGAAAACTGTAAACGGTTTCAGTTGTTGAATAGCTAAGTCTTGTACGAGAAATGACAACCATTGGAGTTCACAGGTTATGGAGGCCAAGGCACGATACTCTGCTTCGGTAGATGAACGAGAAACAATTGTTTACTTTTTTGATCTCCAAGAGATGAGTGAAGAGCCAAGAAAGATGCAGAAGCCAGTAATCGATCTTCGAGTATCAGGACAGCATGCCCAATCTGCATTTGCATATCCACTGAGTTGCACAGAAGAAGTAGCAGGAAAGAACAGTCCTTTGGAAGGAGAACTCTTCAAGTATTTGAGAACTCGATTGGCAGCTTCAAGATGGACATCAGTAGGAGCAGCCAAAAATTGGCTGAGTTGATGAACACTGAAGCTGATATCCGGGCGAGTGGTTGTCAGATATAATAATCTCCCAATGAGTCTACGGTACAGGGAAGCATTTGGAAGTAAGGTACCTATATCACAGCACAATTTGACCGAAGAATCCATTGGAGAAGGAGCTGGTTTACACGCCAATAAACCAGTATCAGAGATAAGCTCTAAAGTATATTTTTGTTGATTTAGTATGATGCCAGAAGAAGAATGTGAAACCTCAAGTCCTAAGAAATATCTGAGTTTCCCTAAGTTTTTTTATCTTGAACTGACTATCCAGAAAGGCTTTGACCTGCTGTATTTCTGCCATGCTATCCCCAACCAGGACAATATCATCCACGTAAACCAATAGAGCAATAAAATGGTTATCTTGCTGTTTGGTAAACAAAGAGAAATCAGCATGAGATTGAGTGTAGCCAAGAGATGAGAGAGCAGCAGAAAGTTTGGAGCACCACTGTCGACTGGCTTGTTTAAGCCCATAAATAGACTTTTTTAATTTGCAAACCAGAGAAGGATCAGGACAGGAAACACCAGGTGGCAAGGTCATGTATACTTCCTCATGTAAGTCACCATGAAGGAAAACATTGTTTACATCAAGTTTCTCCAAGAACCAATGCTTAGAAGAAGCAAGAGACAATAACAAACATATTGTGGTTAACTTTGCCACTGGACTAAAAGTTTCAAAATAGTCTAAGCCTTCATTTTGTGTATAGCCTTTAGCTACAAGGCGAGACTTGTACCTTTCAATAGATCCATCAGCTTTGTGTTTGATTTTATACACCCATTTGCATCCTATGGCACTCTTACCGTGGGGAAGTGGAACAAGACTCCATGTATTATTATGATCAAGGGCTGCAATTTCTGTTTTCATAGCATGCTGCCAGCAGTCATGTTTCGAGGCTTGTGTGTAAGTGTGTGGTTCTGTATGTGTGGTGATGTTAATACAGAGAGTTTTATAAAGAGGAGAGCAGTTGTCATAAGATAAAACAGTGGATAAAGAATATGTAGGATTTGAGGATGAAGTAATACATGAGATAGGTTGATGAGCTGATGTGATGGAGAGATTGCAATGATAGTCTTGCAAGTAGTTTGGCTGACTTCTGGCTCTGAAAGATCGTCTGGTTGGAGCAGGTGAAGGTTGATGAGGTTGTAGTGGAGAATGGGGTATGGGGTCAGGTGTGTCATTTGGGGCAGTGGAGGAGGTCGCTGTGGTATTGTGTCAGTAGGAGGAAGTAGTGGGAGGTCAGAAAGATTGTGAAAATCAAAAGTAAGTGGAGATGAATCAGAATGATTGGAAGGATTATCTGCTTTGGTTTTTATATCAGTAAAAGGAAAAACATGTTCAAAAAATATAACATTTCGAGAAAGAAATTTTTTTTCTGATTTTGAGATCAAGAAGAATGTAACCTTTGACACCTTCTTGGTAGCCTAGAAAAATAGCTTTATAGGCTCTGGAGGCAAATTTTGTCCTTTGGGAAAGAAGAGTAGAAGCATAGGAGAGACAACCAAAGACTTTGAGATGCATCAGTGTGGGTGAATGCTGAAAAAGAATATCATAAAGAGTGGAATGGTTTAGTAAAGGGGTGGACAATCGGTTTATAAGGTGAATGGCATGACAAATGGCATAGGACCAGTATGGAAGTGGAAGGCTAGACTGAAAAATGAGAGCTCGAGCTACATTTAGGATGTGTTGATGCTTTCTTTCAACAATACCATTTTGTTGGGGAGTTTCAACACAAGTCTTTTGAAGTAAGATACCTTTTTCTTGATAAAAAGATGACATATAAAATTCTGCTCCATTGTCAGATCTAATACATTGGATAGTTTTGTGAAATTGATTTTCTATCATGATAATGAAATTTTGTAAAGCTCTTCTAGCTTCACTTTTGGATTTTAGCATTAAAGCCCAAGTAAAACGGGAAAAATCCTCAACAATAGTCAAAAAATATCGATGACCATGGATGGAAGGAATGGAATATGGACCCCAAATGTCTACATGTATCAATTAAAAACTACAGGTTGTTTTGGTATTGTTGTGTGAGTAAGGTAACTTGTGCTGTTTAGCAAAATGACAAGTATCACATGGAGCAATGTCTTTAGGAAGAATGAAAGGAAATTTTATTGCCATTTGTTTCAATACAGAGTAAGGTACATGACCTATTCTATGATGCCATAGTATAGATGCATCAATATTATTTACAGTATGGGAAAAGGCAGAAGAAAAAGGACTCTTCAAGTTGGTGGAGTCATTGTTGACCTTTTTGCTACTTGAGGACTTCATCACATACAATCCTCCAATTTGATCAGTTGAACCAATCATCACATTGGTATTGATCTGTTTAATGAAACAATATGACTGACGAAATATTAGATAACAGGGTATGCTGTTAACTAATTTTGTGACAGACACCAAGTTAACATGAAAGGAAGGAACAAACAATACATCAGTTAAGGTCAAAGTTGGAGAAAAGAGTACAGTGCCAGAAAAATTGGCTGTTGCGTGTGAACCATCAGGTAAAGTGATAGAAATGGGATGAATTTTGGTCATTGTGGTAAAATTGGAGGAAACATAACTAATGTGATCAGTAGCTCCAGTGTCAAGAAGCCATGTGGAAAGAAATGTACCTGTAGGATTGACTGTGCTGGTGTTCAAAACAGCTGTCCGAACTAAATTTGTAGAACTAATGGGAGTTTCTTCAACCGAAGGTCCCAATTGCAAGCCTTTGATCAGATTTTGATATTCATCTTGAGGAATAGTAACCATTGCATCTGAAATATCACCACTGTCAGTGATATCAGTATCAGTCTTAGATACAAAATGTGCATTTGATGGTCCCTTTAGTTTGAAACCTTGAGGATATCCATGTTTTTGGTAACAGGTATCGATAATGTGATTAGGCTTTCCACAATAAGTGCAAATTTTATTTGGACCACGTCCCTTATTAAAGAAAGAAGGAGATCCACGGCCCCTTCCTCTGCCAAAATTCTGTCTCTGATGATTATCGGAAAAAGCTATTGAAAGCTCTAGATTCTGATGTTTGATCAACCAAAACCTCACAGTGCATTTGTCTCTCTTGTTGTACAATCAGAGAGAACACTCTTATTAAACTTGGAAAGGGATCCATGAGCATTACTTGAGATCTTACAGGAACATATTTCTCATTGAGACCTTTAAGAAAACGAACCACTTGATCAACCACTTGATCACGATCCCTGTATGTTCTCATCAAAGTATAACCTCCACATGTACACTGATCAGCACATCTACAAGCAGGCAATGGTTTAAAATTGTCGTGTTCATCCCATATGATCTTCATCTGAGTATAGAACTCAGTAACAGAACGATCACCTTGTTGCATTTTATATATTTCTTCTTGTAAATCAGAAATACGAAATATATCAGAATGAGAAAATCTTCCTCGAAGATCAGACCAAGCATCATTAGCTCGATCTATCCATAATATGGATTGAGCAATAAAACTACTTATCGATCGGTGGATCCAAGATAAAACGATCGTATTGCAACGTTGCCAAGCTGGAAAAGAAGGATCATTTTCCAGTGGTCGTGCAATAGAACCATCTACATAACCTAATT